TAACTCATTTTACATCTCACCACATTCTGCACTACTTATGACGTGCTGGGATATAAATAAATGTGATCTTTGAATTCTCTGTTATTTTTGCTTAAAGGACTCGTGGACCCCCGACGATGTCATGCCTAAGAAACTGAGAGAGAAACAGAAGTAAGACTAAGAGCACCGCCACACGTGCGCAGGTCGAGCATGAAGGTGCACTTAAAGTCAGTGTTGTTATCTGCGTGTGTGTTGCTGTGTCTCAGGGCTGAGAGGGAGACTGCAGCGAGGATCACAGAGGAGATAGGAAACCTGATGAAGGAGATTGAGAATCTGGTTGAGGAAAAGAAGAAGGATTCTTCAGAAATGACCAAGATCATAGTGCCACAGGAAGGTGAGTGTTTCAGAGAACCGGGGTATAAAATGTCAGTCTTGTACAACCAGTCTTTACCCTCACGTCTTTAACTGTGACCTTATCTTGTAGACGGCGCTCTGCTGTACAGTGACATCAAGGTGACCATGACATCCAAGCAGCTGAATGGCTCCCAGCGGGTTTTGCTGGACGGTGTGATCACGGATGAGGAGTGCAGGGAGCTGCACCGTCTCTCCAACGTGAGTAGCCCCAAGGAATAAAGTTCAGTCCGTGTCAGCAAAGATTTCCTCACATCACCTGCATTCTGATCGTGTCCTGTATGTGTGTTTTTCAGCTCGGTTGTTATAGGAGTTGCTTAACGTTGCATTGATTTCACAGGCAGCTGCTCTAAAAGGCGATGGCTACAGAGGACGACCATCCCCACATTCCCCCAGCGAGATGTACCAGGGAGTCACCGTCCTGAAGGCTGTCAAGGTCTATAAAGCAGACTAACAGAAAACCTCCAAATAAGAGATGCCAACACAAGCACAGACGTTTACCTTTAATCATAGCTACGGGAAAGATCAAAGCCAGTTCTTTATGCGGAAACAGAAAATACGTTTTTTAGTCTAACAGCAGACTTTTTCCACATTTCAGCATCAAAACAACAGAACATGCAGCATATAGGTTATGTGCTCGAGTTGGCGGATGAGAATAAACATGTTTGCAGCAGGTTAATATAGAGACTCACCTGTAAATCTTACCTGATGCTTATTGGTTCCAGCTGTTTGAGGTAATTAAATAGTAGGATCCAAAACGACACGTGTGACTCAACACGTCAGTTACAGTGTTGCCAACTTAGCGACTTTGTCGCTATATTTAGCGAGTTTTCAGACC